ATAAAGTAGAATTAAAATAGAATAGAAAGTGCTAGAGTTAGAGATGTGTTTTTAGTAGTTTCTTGAAGATGGTTAAGGACTCAGCTGCTCGGATTGTCATATATGTCTTGTCAACCAAGTTTATTTATATCCAATACTGCATCAGGGCTCTGTGTGGTGGCCATTTTAATGTGGTTTAAATTTTGGCAAAATGTGACAAAATATCATGTGCAAATTCATGGCTTTTCAGTACCATGAATAAGATGGTTTAAATAAATAGTGTAGCTGTGCTTTGTAAGCAATGTACAAATAGCATGTGCTACTTTCATTGGAAGACACATTAAAATCCTGATCGAAATATAGTTATAGATACTGGCCTTTGTAAAGTACATTTAACAATAAATGCATTTATCTTGCACTGCTGCCATGCATCTTTAAATGTAGTTATCACAAAATAATATTTTGAAAATTAATGAAAAGCAGGACGCCATCAAGGGAACCTTTAACATTTAATGAATTAGAATGCATTAACCCTAATCTAGTATCCTGTCTAAGAAGTTTCTCATAGTAATTTAAAATTATTTTTTTGTTGTTCACAGGAAAGGTAGATTATCCAAGAAAGCCATGCAGTTTATAATGTGAAGGTTATTTCAAATGGAAATCCATTTCACATGTTAGCAACTGTTCCAACAAGCCATCAAGTCAAAATCTTTAATTAGTTTATTTCATAGATGCCGAACCCCAGCAGACTGAAAAGGTTATACAAAACAGCCCAGCACTTGTACAGTTAAAAAAAAGGCTTTACACAATATTGATAGAATACGTTGAATCCCCTGGTTTATTTGATTTTACTGAAAGCTGCGTTGTGATGCATTAAGGCTGTGCAGCTGAAAGTACAGCTTCTGTCTTGCAGTCCAGTCATATCTTTCCTGGGTCCTCCTTGAGCGTAACGGTTCTGTTGAACACCAACTGGGGAGAAAAAAGTGACAAAGATGAAGCATTGCTTTCCTCCACTGTATGTTTTGTACATCTATTTAATATATTTGAATGTAATTTGAGTGTTTCTGGAAGTACCTTTTCAGATGTGCTATCCGGGTCAACAGAAAAATAACCCACTCTCTCAAACTGAAACCTATCAAACACTTTGGCCTTGCCCACAGAACGGTCTACTAAGGCACTTTCGATCACTGTTATGGAACACTAAGAATGACAAAAAAGGAAAAACTGATTAGTGAAACTATCAAATCTTTTAAAAAGTTAAACTGAAAAGAGGAAAGTCTATATTATTAGATTCAGTTTCTGCAGTTGCTTGCTTTAGTTTAAAATGGCATAAATTCATTAGTTTGTGGTGGTTAGGTATTCACTACTACTACTGCTCATATACAGGTGCATCTCAATAAATTAGAATGTCGTGGAAAAGTTCATTTATTTCAGTAATTTAACTCAAATTGTGAAACTCGTGTATTAAATAAGTTCAATGCACACAGACTGAAGTAGTTTAAGTCTTTGGTTCTTTTAATTGTGATGATTTTGGCTCACATTTAACAAAAACCCACCAATTCACTATCTCAACAAATTAGAATATGGTGACATGCCAATCAGCTAATCAACTCAAAACACCTACAAAGGTTTCCTGAGCCTTCAAAATGGTCTCTCAGTTTGGTTCACTAGGCTACACAATCATGGGGAAGACTGCTGATCTGACAGTTGTCCAGAAGACAATCATTGACACCCTTCACAAGGAGGGTAAGCCACAAACATTCATTGCCAAAGAAGCTGGCTGTTCACAGAGTGCTGTATCCAAGCATGTTAACAGAAAGTTGAGTGGAAGGAAAAAGTGTGGAAGAAAAAGATGCACAACCAAGAGAACCGCAGCCTTGTGAGGATTGTCAAGCAAAATCGATTCAAGAATTTGAGTGAACTTCACAAGGAATGGACTGAGGCTGGGGTCAAGGCATCAAGAGCCACCACACACAGACGTGTCAAGGAATTTGGCTACAGTTGTCGTATTCCTCTTGTTAAGCCACTCCTGAATTACTGAAATAAATGAACTTTTCCATGACATTCTAATTTATTGAGATGTACCTGTACTTAGGGTTAGAAGTTTTTCAAATTCTTAGATCAAACATTTTATATCATTTCTTCCCTTACTGGGTTAATGTCACGCAGGAATCCAGCAGGAACTTCAGCTGGGTCCTCTGGGTTTTTATGGAGAAACCTACAGACAGAAACGAGAGAGACCGAGGATGTGACAAAATATGATTAAAAGTAAAATTCTGGGGTTTGTCAATACTCAAACACATTACCACAGCCATCCTGACAGAAAAGGAAGATATGAAATAATACTGTAATTTATAATGCATTATTCAACAGTTAGTTCTGAGTTGATCCTTAATTTTGTCTGAACAAAAAGAGTGCTGAAGTACAATCACTGTTTGTGTCACTCCACCTGCCTGTATTTGCACTCTTCAGTAGTCTTTCAGTCTGTGATTTAGTGGTGGGAATTTTTCAGTGACCCTTTTATCGTTATACCAGTTGGTGGTGACAAGTGAATACATTATAAGTTAGTCACTGAATCATTAACTCACCTGATTTGTTCTAAAACACAGAGTTAATCAGGAATTACACAATTAAATGAGATATTAATCAAATTTCATAATATATACACTTGCTAAGTTTCACCTTGAAATGTAAACTGTCACTTCTCACTCATAATTAGGAAGTTGCGCTCTAGCCTCAATTATGTTTTGAATGGTGCATCAACTTGTGAAATGAAAGGGCAATAACAAATTAAACAAATGGCTATTGCATTGACTTGTCTGTATCAGTCAATGTTTGTTATTTGCCTTCATAAGCAGACTCTAAATCCACAACATACTAATTTTGCATTCACACGGTGTAGGAATTACAGTAATTAAGCTCTTAACTGGTAAAAAAACAAATTTTAAAGGCATGTTAAATGTCTAATCAACTGAACCCAGTAGATCATGTGAACTACAGGAAAGTGAGTGGTCTTTCACCTTGATGACACGCTGCACAGAGATGACGTATCCCGCATGTCTTAAGCCTACTGGCTGATCTGGAGTCAGGCGCTTATAGCCCTTCTCCATCACCTGCAGCAAATACACATAAAACAGCAAAAATAGGGTCAATTCTGCTTATATGGGACGCTAATCCATGTATAAATTTAAAAAAAGGGGAAAACAATCTTAAAAAGAAAAAACCTCTCTGAAGTCACTCTGCTCAATAAAGATGGTCTTTGAGAAGGGAACCACGTGACTGCCCTTGGCTTCATTGGCTGGGAAGTCTGGGACTCGAACCTCCTTCTGAATAGAGGAGAAACAAAGCAGTGATCCACTGCAGTTATGAAAGTATGCTTATGCATCCATCTACATATCCTAAATTATATTTTACTGTTGTCCATAGCAACATGTCATTGCTACCTACAGTCTTTGTTTTACCTACAGTAAATGACCTTGGAGGTACAGTATTATTTTTAATAGTGAGCATAAATCTATAAAAAGCAAGAAAGAGCTGGATGAAGGAAACCCGAAATGATAATACTAAATACTAATTCATAGAAAAAGCAACAAATTATTATATATAAACAAATACTGTAACATTGTTGCAGTGTTTGTCTTTTTGCAAAGGAGAATGTTTTCCATGTTGTAACAGACTATTTTTTAACATAAGCTTTTAGCTAAACTAGTTAGATTTAAGCTCATTAAATTCAATTACATTTACTCACTAAACTCATTAACATATTAAGTACATGAATATTTAATTTTCACCTGTTTATTTATTTGATAAGTAGCCACTTAATAAGCAGAACTCCAGTCAGTCATTACAGCAAAACTGCAGGTTGCTGAACTGTTGGGTTTTATTTTTGCAATAATGACTGGCTATCTGTATAGTATTACATGTAATGAACTTCTGCATGTGTTCACCTGTGCATTGGTTGGCAGGTTGGTGATGGTGACTTTGAGAGGCTCGAGTACAGCCATGGCACGTGGAGCGGTGTCATTAAGCACCTCCCTAACACACGCCTCCAACAGGTGCGGCTCCATGGTGGTCTGAGCAACAGTCACACCCACCTAAAGCAGAACAACAGCTGCTGACAAAGGGTAACAGTTTCTAATAAACAAGTCTTTTAATGGCTATTAAAGATTTCATTTCATGGACCTTGCAAACTTTGACAACTTTGAAAAACTCTGGGACATTATGTATCAGAGCATCCAAAGCTGCCAAGTAGCACCACAGTCTGTCTAGGAGCTCACTGATGCCCTGATTTTTTTTTGGTGTGATTTTACATCCAACCCTAAATGGGTTGATCATTTTGGCCTCCATCGACCTTTGTCACATCATTTTATTCTCAATGAATATCACAATGTACATAAGTAAAGATTTTCAACTTGAATATTTCATTATCGAGATCCAGTGTGCGATTTAAGCATTCCATTAATTTTTTTTTAATCTTTACAGTTTGATTGGCACAATAGCTGTTGAATGTAGGTGCAGTGCAACCATTGCAGTCACATTTATGACTGAAAATTACCGTGTGCAACTGTGAAAAAATATTGAGGCACACAAGTGACTCAAAGCTCATGAATAGTTGTATACACCGGGTCACAATATTAATATTAATATAAAAAAAAAGAAAATCTAAAAAAACTATTGCAAAGCCTGGGACGTAGGGCCCTGAGGCGTCAGGTTTGTAATCCCACCTGCGAATGAGATCAACAGCAAGATCG